GGCGCCCGCGATCGGCCCTTCCGGGGCCAGGCCAGGGCCTGCGCCCCGCGCCCGCGCCCTGCGTCCGCTCAGGGCCGCAGGTGACAGGTGGGTGGGTGGCGAGGCCCAGCCGCCAGGTGCGCGTCTCTGACAGGCCTCATCCGCGCGCCTGGGCTGGGGTCCGGCTTGGGCCGGGGTCTGGCTTGCGCCGCGATCCCGCTGCCGGCTCGCTGTGGCCCCGCGCGGACTGGGCTCTCCCCGAGGGGAGTCCCACAACCCCGACCCTGCTGGGTCGGGCCGGGGGCGGGGGTCGAAGCCCCTACTGGTCCTGTTGTGATAGTCATAGGCCAGGGCGGAAGGAGGGGTGTCGGCCTCCCAGGCGGATCCTGGCTCCAGCCCCCTCGACTCCAAGCCTGGTCAGGCTCGGGCAAGATTGAAAAGCAGGGGCCTGGCCTGCACCCACACCACGGCCGCCAGCTCATCACTGGCTGGGTGACTGTAGAAAGTTGAAGCATAAGGACTCCCAGAGAAGTTTGTTTGGACGTTCTCGACCCCTCTCTCCATCCAGGCCCCGGATATGGGTGTCCCCCTTAGAATGGGTCGTCCTCTGGACTCAGGCTGCCCGAATCACCCGCTTCTGTGGCCTTGGGTCTCCCTGTGGGGGGATCTGACAGGGCTGGGCTCAGAGTCCCATGTCCGCCCTCAGCTCTTGGGGTGTGGGGTCCCCCAGCCTGGGTGGAACAGGCCCAGGGAGGCCCAGCCCCAGGCAGCAGGGGCCCCCTCTGCCTTGAAGCTGGGGGCTCCAAACGCTGGGCTTAGCTGCCTGTGCTCACTGGCTAGTGGGGCTGAAGCTGTGCTGGTCGACCCGAGGCAGGGACCAGGGATTTCTCTGGTGGAGGCAGAGGGGGCGAGGCGCCAGCACCAGCCCCCACCTGGTTGGCGGGACCTACTGGAATGTGATCAAGGGGCCTGCAGGTCCTTGGTCTGCCCGCCGGTAGGGATTGGGGGCCCACAGCGCCCAGCTTGGCAGTCTTCCAACTGTGTCTTGGGCAGAAGAATCCGAGGCGCCCGCCGGGTAGGTCGGCACTGTCTGGGTCCGGGTGGGGAGGGGTTCAGCCGTGGGCTGTAAGGTGGTGCCCCCAGGTGAGCCAGCAGCCCATCACTGGTGTCTTAATTGGCCCCCAGGAAGGGTGTAGTCCGACTCCTTGCTCCTGGGTGTGGGGTGCATGCTTCCTGGCACAAGTCTGGGGACACAGGGAGCCAGCGGCCAGCACGGGGCTAGGGGACACCAGAGTCTGTCTTTCAGGCTTATCGTTTCTCCTAGATTGTCCAGAGACCTCAGCGGGGCAGCTTCTCTCACCCTCTCTCCCATCTGCTCCCAGAGATCAGACCTGTCTGAGGGCAAGGACAGAGGGCAGGCTGTGGCCCCTTCTGTGTCCTGAGTCCTAAATGGCCCAGGAGAGGCTGCAGGGTGCAATGGGTCCTGGGCCTATGGGTCTCACTGGTCTGTCCCCTTGCTCTGCAGCCATGACTGACCGCTTCTGTGTGGGCGGAGGCCGCCGGCTCCCAGGGTCCAGCAAGAGTGGACCTGGGAAGGATGCAGGTCGGAATGAGGTCCGACTTCCGGTGCTGCATGACCCACCCAACCTCGGTAAGAGGCAGCACAGGCAAGGCAGGAGCCTTCCTGGGTAGGGGGGGAATGTTCTGGAGAAGCAGGGGCCTGGGTGTGGATGGAGGCCTACGGGCCTGCCCAGCCCCTGAGCCTGGCGTGTTGTGTGCCACAGGAGTACCAGTGGTCCGAAGTGGGCAGACCGTGCCCAGCCAGGCCCCACTTTGCTTCGACCCAGGAAGCCCAGCCAGCGACAGAACGGAAGGGAAGAAGAAGGGGCGGCCGAAAGCTGAGAACCAGGCACTCCGAGACATTCCTGTGAGCTCCTCAGGGCCGGGGTGGGGCTCACGTGGGTCTGCCATCTAGACCGCTGCCTGCCCCTCAGCCACATCGGTGGGCAGTCCAGTGTTCCAGGGCGTGGGTACTGGCCAGATGGCCCTTCACTATGTGGCCTTGAGCCCCTGCCTTTGACGCAGCTGCCGGGACGACCCAGTGGACCAGGTGTGGGCACCTAGGACAGGTCTGGCACGGGGCTGCCACTTGAGTGGGTGGCTACTTCTTGTCATCATCCCAAGGCTGAGGGCCTGGGGAAGGCACGGTGTCTAGGGCTTGGGTTGGGTGGAGGCTGCCACCGAGGGGGTCAGCAGCCTGGCCTTGCCCACTCCCAGCTCTCCCTGATGAACCAGTGGAAGGATGAATTCAAGGCCCACTCGAGGGTGAAGTGTCCAAACTCGGGGTGCTGGCTGGAGTTCCCCAGCATCTACGGTCTCAAGTACCATTACCAGCGGTGCCAAGGGGTAAGGGGCATCTGGCTGGGGACAAGGAGGCCTGGGCCTGCCCGCCCGTGCTGTCAGCGTTGTCTCCTGCACACTGGGGGGGTGTCTGGGCAGCCCTCCTGGACGGGCCCTGCCCACACCTGCTCTTCCCACTCAGGGTGCCATCTCAGAAAGACTGACTTTCCCCTGCCCCTTCTGCGAGGCTGCATTCACCTCCAAGACCCAGCTGGAGAAGCACCGGATTTGGAACCACATGGACCGACCCCTGCCTGCCCCCAAGCCCGGACCGGTCAGCCGCCCGGTCACCATCAGCCGGCCCGTTGGGGTCAGCAAGCCTATAGGAGTGAGCAAACCTGTCACCATCGGCCGGCCTGTGGGGGTCAGCAAGCCCATTAGCATCAGCAAGCCCGTGGCGGTCAGCAGGCCCGTGCCGGTCACCAAGTCCCTACTGGTCACCAAGTCCATACCAATTACCAAGCCCACACCAATCACTAAGACCATACCGGTCACCAAGCCCACACCCGTCACTAAGACCATACCGGTCACCAAGTCCATACCAGTCACTAAGACCATACCGGTCACCAAACCTGTCACGGTCAGCAGGCCTATGCCAGTCAGCAGGCCCGTGCCGGTCACCAAGCCCACACCAGTCACCAAGCCCACGCCGATCACCAAGTCCATACCTATCACCAAACCCGTGCCGGTCACCAAGCCCACACCGATCACCAAGCCCACACCGATCACCAAGCCCACACCGATCACCAAGCCCACACCGATCACCAAGCTCGTGACGGTTGCGAAGCCTGTGCCAGTCAGCAGGCCGGTGCCGGGTGGCAGGCCTGTTGCCGTCAGCAGACCCACACCACCCTGCAAAATGGTGCTGCTGACCAAGTCCGAGAACAAAACTACTCGTGCTGTGGGGAGGAACAGCGGTAAGAAAAGGTATGGGGCCTGTTCCAGGCTGGGGGACTCCTGGGCTGTAGCCTAGTACTCAGAAGTCGGCCACCTGCCCCTCACCTGCCCGCTCCCCCCAGAGCTGCAGATGGCCTGGACGCCTGCCCTGTGCCCCCCAAGCAGGCGAGGCCGGAGAATGGGGAGTGTGGCCCGTCCACCATGGGCCAGAGTTCAGGCTTCCAGCTGGGCGCAGACCCCCCCGGTGGCCCCCTTTCACCGGGCAGCAGGGCCTCTGGAGGCAAGGAGGCACCTCGGGCCCCGGGCCCTGCATCCCCACCAGAGGACCCGGAGCGGACGAAGCACAGTAAGAGGAGAGCCAGGGAGCGAGCGGTCGGGGCGGGCTGAGGCTGCCAAGTGGTCATCTGACCAGAATCTTGCCCGTCTTCTTTCCCCAAATCAGGAAGGAAACAGAAAACTCCCAAGAAGTTCACAGGGGAGCAGCCGTCCATCTCTGGGACCTTCGGACTCAAAGGTAAGACCCTGGACGGGTGGGTACTTCTGTGGTTGGGTGCACGTGCACACATGTGCCAGGGGCCTCTGCCTACACCTACCCTACCCTTTCTCTGTGCAGGCATGTGCAAGTGCCCTGTGCCCACACCTGCCCTGCCTGTGCATGCACGTGTGTGCCAGGGGCCTGTGCCCACACTTGCCCCACCTACGTGTGCACATGTGTGTGCTGGCCCTCTGCCCCCACCTACCCCACCCTGCACGCATGTGCACACAGGCCTGGCCAAGGCAGAGGACAAAGTTCGTGTCCACCGTGCCAAGAAACAGGAGGTACCAGGCCCCGAGGACATGCGGAAGAAAGTGCCAGCCACCACCAGCCCTGCCAGCAAGGAGGTGCCGGCCCCTGTGGCCCACCCAGCCCCAGGTGGGGGCTGCTGAGTGGCAGAACAGGTTCCTACTGCAGGGGCAGGGGGCTGGGGTGCAGTGTTAGGGCCGAGCGTGGACCCTGGGTTCTGCACTTGCCATCCAGGGGATCCGGGAGCCCAGCAAGGCCCTGAGGCCCTGGCTTTGCCCCACAGGTGGCCCCGAGGAGCAGTGGCAGCGAGCCATCCATGAACGGGGCGAGGCTGTCTGCCCCACCTGCAGCGTGGTCACCCGCAAGACCCTTGTGGGGCTCAAGAAGCACATGGAGGTGTGCCAGAAGGTGAGGCCGGATCCCCCAGGGCACCAGGAGGGGGGCCCAGGGCCCAGCTGTGACGGGTGGCCGTGTCTATAGCTGCAGGACGCGCTCAAGTGCCAGCACTGCCGGAAGCAGTTCAAGTCCAAGGCAGGCCTCAACTACCACACCATGGCCGAGCACAGCGCCAAGGTGTGCCCTCCCACCCTCCAGGGCCCAGCCCGCGCCAGCTCCCCCGCCCCCGCCAGCTCAGGCCCCAGTCCAGCTCCCCGACTCCCTGAGCTCAGTCCCTATTTCACCCCCCCTTCCCCCAGCTCAGCCTCCGCTCCAGCCGTTCCCCCATCCCTGACTGTGGACCTTTTCTTGGCACACTTTGGTGGAGCGCCGTGGGACACATTGTGGCCCCAACCCCTGGGCAGGGGCAGGGGGCCTGTGTCAGGGGGGTGCTGATGCTGCCCTGTCTCCGCCAGCCCTCTGACGCTGAGGCCTCGGAGGGGGGCGAGCAGGAAGAGCGGGAGCGACTGCGCAAGGTGCTGAAGCAGATGGGGAAGCTGCGCTGCCCCCAGGAGGTCAGCGGGCCGGGGGACACGGGGTTGGGGGCCAGGGCACAGGGTCTCTCCCGCCACTGACCCAGCCCCTGACCCCTGGCCCCTGACCCCTAGGGCTGCGGGGCTGCCTTCTCCAGCCTCATGGGCTACCAGTATCACCAGCGACGTTGCGGGAAGCCGCGCTGTGATCTGGACAGCCCCTCCTTCCCCTGCGCACACTGTGGCAAGACCTACCGCTCCAAGGCCGGTCACGACTACCACGTGCGCTCGGAGCACGCGGCCCCGGTGAGCGGCCCTGTGACTCTCCCCCGCCCCGTGTGCCCGTGTACTCCCCTCCCTCCCTCACGGGCACATGTGGCCAGTGGTCCTTGCTATGCATGTCTCTGGCCACTCTCACCTCCACACATCCTGTCGCCCCAGCCCCCTGAGGAGCCTGCAGACAAGCCCTCTGAGGCTGAGGAGCTTCTGGGTGTGGAGCGGACCCCAAGTGGTCGCATCCGCCGGACGTCGGCCCAGGTTGCCGTGTTCCACCTGCAGGAGATTGCAGAGGACGAGCTGGCCCGAGACTGGACCAAGAGGCGCATGAAGGATGACCTTGTGCCCGAGACTGCGCGGGTGACCGGCCCCCACCCCCTGGGTGCTTGTGGTTGCCTCCCTCAGCTCCCAGTCTCCTGGTCTTTGGGTGGGGTGTGTCCTAGCCCAGGGTCCCCTGACGCCCCATCCCCAGGCCACCTGATGGCCGTGGGCCCAGGGTACCCTCGCTTATTCAGTGCCTGTCTTCACAGCTCAACTACACACGGCCAGGCCTCCCCACGCTTGACCCCCAGCTGCTGGAAGCGTGGAAGAACGAGGTCAAGGAGAAAGGCCACGTTAACTGCCCCAATGACGTAAGCCTGGGCAGGCTGGTGGGGGCAGGGGGCTGGCCTCAGGGACAGAGTGCCCAGGTGTCCCTGGGGGATGAGAATGGGTACGGCAGAGCCCAAGATGGAGACTCTGTCAGGAGGGGGCCACCCTCAGTGTGACCAGCCCACCTGTGACCCCTGAGCCCCCACAGGACCCTTAAGACCCATCAGGGGGGACCTGCCCACAACCCCGGGACTCCTGGGCCCAAGTCCCTCCACTTACCCCGCCGAGGCCCCATTTCCCCAGATGGAGCAGGCCCACTGGGGACCCCCCCCATCCACTATGTCTTTCGTCCCCCAGTGCTGCGAGGCTATCTACTCCAGCGTGTCCGGACTCAAGGCCCATCTTGCCAGCTGCAGCAAGGTTGGTTCTGCCCCATGGCTGGCTGTGCGCAGGCCTGCAAGTGCATCTGTGAGGCCCTGAACACAGTCCCCCTGCCCGTTGTCTTCAAGGGCCACCCCTTCACAAGCCCAGGAGTCCACCCACCCGTCCTGAGCCCACTGGTCCCCGAGGTGTCCCACCCCTCCGTTCCCTACTAGCCCTTTCTCCAGAGCTGCCCGGGCCTGGCCTGCCCTCTCTTGGAGCTGCCATCTGTGGCAGGGGGCACGTGGATGCAGGGACAGCCCAGCAGGCAGAGGGGCCTCCTCCGGGGCACCTGCTTCCACCCACTCTTATCTGCTCACCGACAGCAGGGGCCACTCGGTGGTCCTGGTACAGGGTGACTCGAGGGTCCCTGTAGCCCACCTGCTGGCCCCATCCTGCCCCTGGCAGCCGCAGCTTCTCCACGGCTAGCCCTGACCTTGGCCCTGCCCCCTTTAACCACAGGGTGAGGGGCTGGGCATCTGCACCCCAGCTCTGATCTGGGTGCTGCGGGTCCTCCAGGATGGGGGGCTGGGTCCAACCTCTGGGTGCTGGGCTGCCCTGCATTGTAGGGGGACCACCTGGTGGGGAAGTATCACTGCCTCCTGTGTCCGAAGGAGTTTAGCTCTGAAAGCGGCGTGAAGTACCACATTCTCAAGACACACTCGGAGGTGAGAGGCAGCCAAGGAGGCCGGGGGGCTGGCCAGGGCCGGGAGTGGGAGCGCAGCGGCCTGCAAGGTGTTTTGCAACAGTCTGGAAGAAGTGGCCGACATTTAAACATTTAAAAGAAATCTGGAGTTTTCACCCCAAAGTGGCTGTCTTCCACCCCTTGAAGAGCTGAGAGGCACAGGTGCCCTCAGTCCCCTCAGTGACAGCCATCCCTTTAGGGGTACACCTTGTCCCCTCAGCCACCCCGTGGGGCATGCTGCCAAGTTTGCAGCTTTGGGCCAGGGGTCAGGCCTCAGGCCTGGCCCACAGCTCAGTACCTCCACCCTGGGGTCTCCACTGGCTGTTTTTTTCTCTCAGAACTGGTTCCGTACCTCGGCGGACCCCCCACCCAAGCACAGGAGCCAGGACTCGCTGGTGCCCCCGAAGGAGAAGAAAAGTTTGGGGGGCGGGAAGAAGCGGGGCCGCAAGCCAAGGGAGCGGCCCCCTGAGGAGCCCACGCCCAAGCTGCCCCCACGGCGTGATGACTGGCCCTCGGGGGGCAGAGACAAGGGGGGCCGGGGCTCCACGGGCCGGAAGGTGGGGGCTGGCAAGGCACCTGAGAAATGAGCTTGGTTGTGGTAGGTGGGAGGGGTCCAGCCCCCATGCTGGCCGCCAAATCCCCTCCATCCAGGGAGGGGGTAGCTAGCTCCAACCTCTTCCTGCCCCCAGTTCTCCATCCCCTCTATCTGTCCAGTGGGTGGGGGGTGGCCAGCCGCTCTCCCCTCCCTGATGTGGTCCCTCCCCTGCTCGAGCCCAACAAGCGAGTGGCAGGGCTTGCTGGGCAGAAGTGCAATCGTCCGGAGGGACAGCCCTGCTTCTGAGAATGCTCCCCTGCCTAGCACGGTCTGGGGGCCTAGGGGTGGGCAGGAGGAGGGGCCTCAGCGCCATGAGTGGGGATGTGGAGCAGGCAGGTGGCAGCAGCCCTGGGGCCCTTGCCACCCAGGCTCCACGCCTGTCAGATTTCGTAGCCCCTGCTGCCCCCCCAGCTCCTTCTGTGGCCCAGGGGCTCCCCGACTAAGGCTTGGGGTCCCTGATGACCCCTGGTTCTGGGCTGGTGAGGGCACCAGTGCAGCCCTGGCCACTGCCATCCCAGCCTCGCCTCCACCCAACACTGGAACTCCAGCACCCCAGCTACCTCCCAGGACAGACCCGGGTCTGACCACGGTGCCCCGCTCGCCAGCCCATCCCCCCAGGCTGCCCCCGCCCTGCGCCTCTGGCCCCTCCACCTCTGCTCTCTCTACCTCTCCAGCCTGTCTCCTGCTCTCCCCGCCCTACCACCCCTGCTGTGCTTCATGCCACTGGCCTGGCCCGGGTCCCTCGTGGTGGAGAAGTGGCCACTTCAGTGGAGGGCTCTCCCAGCTATCCCCAAAGGTGCTCCCTGCTTGGGGCAAGGAAGAGGAGCTCTGCTTCTCCCACCTTCCAGGCGGCAGGAGAAGGGGTTCATAGCCCAGGGTCCCCCAGGGTGGGGGCAAGTGGCCCTGTGGAGCATGTTCTGCCGTGACCTTCAGCCTTGCTGACACCCCTGGCTGGGGCAGGACAGGCCTGATGGGCAAAGATAGCCTAGTCTGGGCTCTGGGGTCTACCTGAGGCTGGGAAGAGGTGGGGGCCACAGAGGCGAGCGGCCCACAGGTGTGTGGGGCTGGGAGCTGGGTAGAGTGGGCCCATCCCCTGAGGAGTCACCTCTGTGGGAAGTGGCTTTCCTGGCAGCTGATCTGGCCCACGGCCAGGTCCCTGGGGGCACTCTCTCCCCGGTTTTATGCCTGCCTCTTTGCTGCTGCCTTTGTGGCCACTTGATACAGGACTGAAGCCCAGCAGGGGCAGGGGGTTTAGCCAAGGTTATGGCAGGCTGGTGGCCCAGGCAGGCCTTCGTCTTTGCTCCGTTTTGGGCTCTGATGAGGGGGTGGTCTACAGGTTTGGCAGGTCCAGTAGGGAGGCCAGGGCACCTGGAGGACGTGGCCATGCAGCCTCCGCCCCTCCCCCCGACCCCCTTTGCCCAAGGCCATCGAAGGGAGGTGGACCATCGGAGTGTGGATTTGGACGGGCACTGTTTTCCACTGGGGATGGGGATGAGCCAAGGGTGTGGCCTCGCCAATCCTGGATGATGTGAATCTTGATAGTTGCCCGTGTGTGTGTTTTCTGGGTGTAGTGGGTGCCAGTCTTGTTGCTGTGACAGGTAACAACCTTTTTTAAATTGTTTTTTATATGAAAACTCACAACAATCTGACATTTTGGTGCTAAGGGTTTCCTGGTGCCGACAATGAGTCTGGGGACCTAGCTGGGCCAGGGCATGACCCTCTGGGGCTGGGGTCCCTCCGTTCTGTGGACCTCTGCTGGCCCCCAGCTCCTGTCCTCATCTGTCCGCCTGCCCCCCAGGGAGAATGGGCTGGAACCTGGGCAGTGGGGAAACAGGTTCCAGGGAGTTCTTGGGGATGCGGTCACCCGTGTGTTTCCTGACTCTGGCTTCTTCCTTTGCTCTAAAGGCACTGGCCCGAGATGTTTGGTGGGGGTGTGGAGACTTGGATTCCTCCTCCCTGCACACCCCTGGATCTGGTCAAGGGGTTGGAGATGGGTGCCCAGGGTGGGGCAGGCCGCATGGGCAGGGGCCCTGGGGGCCAGAGCACTTTGTTTTCTGTGTTCCTGGCACCAGTTACAGTGTGCAGCGGGGTGGAGGGTGGGGGTCAGGCAGCCACGGTGAGGGAGGGAGCCCGGATCAGACATGGCAGACGCAGGCTCTGGGTAGGAGCTGCCAGGTGCACTGTGTTCTGCTTTTGTTACCTATGGCGGGAGGAGGGTCTGACCGCCACACCTCTGCTGAAGGCGGACAGACTGCCCCGGCCTCTCAGGTACTTGGCCCTTGGGGAGAGGAGAGAGGGCCCTGGTTTTGGCTGGGGGTGAGTTTCTAGGACACTCCCAAAGTCCACAAGTAGTCCCTGGTGTGGGAAACCCCTCTGGATGTGCTGGGAAGAGGGGGGTGGGTCCTGGGCAACTTGATGTTTAGCACTTTAACCCCCTTCTTTATCTTTAAAGCGGGGGTGGGGGCTGCTGCTGAATGTGGCTATTGGGTCGGACCCCTCCCTTTCTCCCTTTCTCTCTCCCTCCCATGGCCTAGACTGGAGCTCAGGCTGGTGAGGGGCCAAGGTGAATTGGTCTGCAAACCTTTCCTGGGGGAGGGGGCAGCTCTGGGCAACGCTCAGTAGCATCTGCCCACCTCCCACCCTTGCAGCATCTGTACTGGTGGCTGCAGCCAGGTGACGGACACCCCCAGTGTCAGGGACCTGCGTGGCTGGACTCGCCCACCCCCACCCCAGGGTGTGGTGGGTGTGGACCTTGCCCAAGGCTCATGCCCTGGGCATTATGCTACAGTTGGGTCCCTTTCTGCAGATCTACCTCAGGCCCAGCCCACCCCCTTTGCCCTGAGAGCAGAAAGGGCTGGCTTGAGGGGTTAACACTTCACACACAAAAAGGATGCACTTTATTTGCCCCTGCAAAGGCAGATGAGGGTGCCTCCTGATGTGACCTTTGGCCCTTCCTACCATAGCTCTCCCTGTTCCTCTGTACCTGGAGAGCTATTGGTGGTTTCGGCGGAAAACAGTAGGTGTTCCCCGATTCCGCAGAGGGGAGGGCTACCCCAGTGTGCTCCCACTTGGTGGGCCCCTGACGTCTTGCACTGGAGGTCTGGGGTTCAGATGGCCAGTCAGTCACCTCTCCAGCCTGGCAGTCACATGATCTATACTTCGGGTTTCTTGGTTTGGGTTTTTTAGCGCCAGTTCTCAGTACGCAAGTGCATTTCGAAAGAGAGGTTCCCGCTATCACTTGTAACCATATATATACATATATATTATATCAACAAAGTGTTTATTTGCAAGATGTTTTGACGGTGAGCTCGGGCGCTGCCCGCCTTGTGACCATCTGTCCCTGGTCCTTGTCCCCGCCCTCCCCCTACCCAATGGTGTGGGGGCGGGCCATGAACTGTATGTATTAAAAATGACTGTATCAAATAAATGTTTATTGATTTTTTTCCAGGGCTTTTGTGCGGCTGAGTTTGTGGTAAAACGCGGAGGGTGGGGAAGCAGTTCCTCTCCCGGTGTTCAGACCGCGGAGCGGCGGGGCGCCGGCCCAGCCCCTGCACGTGGCGGAGCGCCGGACTACGAGTCCCGGCATGCTGCGCCGCGCGGCCTTGTGGGACTTGTAGTCCGCGGGGCGCGCTGCCGGCCGTGCGGTGCACGGCCTAGAACTACAGCTCCCGGCGGCCTGTGCTCGAGGCCCACAAGCCCAGATCGGCCTGCTGCTGCAGCGACACCCCCAGCTCCATGGCTGCACCCCCGGCTTTAGCGTCTGCCACCCCCTCGGCGCCGCCGCCGCCCACTGCGGATCGAGACCCGCCCGACCAGCCAGGGGAGAAGAGCGACACTGCACGCGAGGACTGGTAGGCGAGGGCGCGCCCGAGGGAGACTGGGGTCCGCGCACGCTCCCTCTCCCACGGTGGGAGCGGGAAGGAGGGGCGGGGGAGACCACGTCAGCAGGAGCCCCCGCCTCGCGTGATGTAGGTTCCTATTCTGTGGCCCAGCCCCCACTAGCCTTGGTCCAAGCATTCAACCCCGGCCCAGCCCCTTCCTCCTTCCTTTAACTTCCCTTTCCAAGGGGTCTTGGCACTGCACTCTTCCGGATCTGGAAACGAGCTTCCTTCCTTCTCGTGCACACGGTGATGTCATTACACACACCGCGCGCGCGCGCGGGAGGCAGTGGAGACAAAGACAAGATGAAGCTGTGTTGAACTTGGTCTCTCCTAACTGGAAGTGTGCCTCCCCAGCCCCTCCACAGTGCTCCCAGGCGCCCAACCCGAGAGAAAGTCTGAGTGCGCAGATGAGACCAGCATCCTCCACCCAGATGAGGAGCAGAAAGGGGGCTGTGGCTGGGGCCTGCGCATGGGGCCAAAGGGCATGGGCCTCGCCCAGGCCCCCAGGCGTCTAAAGAGGCTCAGCCCCCCCCTCCCCCGCGAATTGACCTTGGGTTCTGTCTTGGGTAGATGAGGTACCTGGCAGAGTGTGAGTCCACGAGTCAGGCCTGCCCCGCATTTTTGGGGACAGCGTTGTGCCCAGTGCCTTGTCATTACCCCGTCTGGTGTGGGTAACCCTCGAGGCTCTGGGGGGCTTGGTGAGAATGTGAAGAGGAGTGTGATGAGGGAGAAGCTCCTCTGACCGGGTGTCACCAGTGCTGCGTCGGGGACAAGGAAATGGCTAGGAGGAAGTGTTCTCCGGCTGGGGCCTTTGAACCTTGGCCACCAGGGGGCGGAGGCTGGCCATGCTGGGGCTGGTGGAGGCCCCTGGGCCTGTCTCCTTCCAGGTCTGCAACCTGTCCCCTGGGGGTTGCAGGAAGGAAAACCCAGCCTGCTCAAGCACCTCTGCCCAAGGCCTCAACACCATGCACCTGGCCCCTGCGGGGTCCTGGGAGCGGGGGGGCTGCCAGAGGAGCTGGGCACTGACTAGGGGAGAGCGCTTGGACAAGGCACCCTAAGGGACAGTTCTCCGGAACCACTGCTTGCAGAGAGCCTTTCCCTGGCCCCAGGGGAGCGCCTCTCCCTCCGGGTGCACACCTCCGGGGCAGAGGCCAGGAGCCTGGTGCTGGATAGAAGGGCCTCTTCTCCCCTTTGGGGTGGAGGGTGGCTTAGGTCTGACAGGAACTGAGCTTGTGACCCCGCTGGTTCCAAAGTTCTTTATTTAACTCAAGATCAGGAAGGGGGAGACGAGGTGAACCATGAAGGCTCTGGGGAACAGCCCCCTGACAACACAGATGTCTGCAGCCCCGTTGGGGTCCGCTCTGCTCAGACAGGTCCCACACGGGTGGCCCTCGGGTCCTGCAGCCCGCGGAGGCGGACACTGTTCTCATTTCTCTTTGGAGAAGGGCCTGGAAACATGCCAGTTTTAAACGGAAGCTTAGACCACAGCTCTCTCTTCCTCCAAAGTCCCACGCGACCTGCCTGGAGCCTCTCTGGGTTTCTGAGGGGAATTTCTTGCGCTTTTTTTCCTGCTGTTCTTGCCCTCGAGGCTTCCTCTGTTCCACTCAACCCAGTCCCTGTGCTGCTGGCCTCTGCCCAGAGCACCTTCAGCGTCGCAGAGCGGCCTCCCTGGTTGCCGCACACTCCACCCGCTCTGGACTTTCCTCTTGAGTCCTCCTGGCCGCTGGCATCGGTGTGGTCTGTCCACCTTGCCCCTTGCTTATTGTGGCCCGCCCCCTCAGCACGTCACTGTGAGGACAGGACCCGCCCAGCCTGCCCACGCTCTCACCAAGGACCCCATGCTGCTGGGCTTGCTGGCACTCTGTAAACCTGAGCAGAAGGAGCAACTCGTGTGCCTTCTGGGTGGGTGGGGCCGGGTGGCAGATGTGGAGCCTACCCCAGGGCACAGTGGAGGATGCTCAATGGGATGCTGTTGGGAACCCCCAGGTCTCTGCAGTATTTCAGCCCTTTAGCGCCTTGGGAACCCATGTTCTCCCTGGGAGCAGCTGCCCTGATGCTCTACACTCGGCTCCTGAGCCAGTGTCAGACCCCATGACGGCAGCTTCCCCGTCCTTCCTGTTCTCGTTGTTGTACTCATTTAACAAATAGTGGGGTGACAGCATGGGTGGAGGCCTGGGTACAGCCTGGGGAGCGAGCCACCAGACAGGACTTGAAGCCTTTCCCCACGTGTCGTGAGCATTGTCTTAGGGATTAGCCACGCACGCAACTGTGGTTTTGAACTCCGTAAAATACTCAAGCAGTCCCTGCTTCTCTCTAGTTTCGGGCACCGCAGACAGTGCAGTGGTGAGCGGCTGGGCCTGGATCTCTGTGCACGACCGTGCCATTTCTTTAAGGCCATGGCTCATGGAGGCCTCGCTGCACGTGAGGCACATTAGTGCAGTGTGTATCTGGGCCTCACGTCCCAGCATACCGGTGGGGAAATCAAGGTGGACGTGAAGCTGCTCAGGGGTGGAGGTGGAGGGGAGCTGAGTCAGACAGGCATGTGAAGAAGGTGCCCGGGCGCCTTCAAGCTACCTTGACAGCCCTGCACACCTGAGATAGGAGGCTTTCCCATGACCAGGCAGGCAGGTGACTAGAGGGTTGTCCAAACAGCTGCCCGTCCCAGCACTATCGGTCAGAGCAGGTGGCTCTCGGCATTTCCTGGCACACTGCAGGTTGAGAAGTGCTGGTTTGTGGAGCTGGCTCCCTAAAGCCGGGAGGCAGGCAATGTGGGGGCCTGCGCGGGGTGCTGGGCCACCCTGCATGGGCTGTGGGCAGGGCAGTGTCAGCAGCTGCATGCCTAGCGCCTGCCTCTTTTCCAGTCAAGCCGTGTTGCTGCCTCTCTCAGCCCCAGCCCTGGTCAGCTAAGGCCCCCAGTACCCACTGGTCTCACCAGCCTGATCCTCTATGCTGCCTGCACAGCACTGGCCAGTAAGCTAGTCACTGGGAACCCTGCTCTGCACCTGCCACACCCACTTCTGCCTCCCTGAGCAGGGCACTCTTCCCCTCTGCCCAGGCAAGGGTGGAAGAGGCCACCCTGGATCGGTACCAGCAGGGAAATACTGCTGTGGTGCAGGTGGGCTGGTCCTGTTGCCAGGTACCCCCAGGTGGCACACAGACACACCAACAGTTACCTAGGCAGCCAGGAGAGGCTGCCACTGCTCCTGGGAGGGACCTCCCCTCAGGTGTGTAGACCCCTGGGTGTGTGAACCCTTCAGGTATGTGAACCCTCCTTCAGGTGTATGAACCTCCCATCAGGTGTGTATAAACCCCCCTTGGGTGTATGTTCATCCCCGTGAGGTGTGTGAACCTCCCACTGGGTTTGTGAACCTGCCTCAGGTGTGTGAACCCCACTCAGGTGTGTGGAAACCTACCCATGTTTGAACCCCCTTCAGTTGTGTGAACCCCCTCAGGTGTGTGTTAGCCCCTCTCAGGTGTGTGTGAACCCCACAGGTGTGTGAACCCCCATAGGATTTGTGAATCCCCCTCAGGTGTGTGAGTCTCCCTCAGATGTGTGAGCCCCACAGATGTGCGAGCCTCTCAGGTGTGTGAACCCCCCTCAGGTGTGTGAACCCCCATAGGATTTGTGAACCCCCCTCAGGTGTGTGCGAACCTCCCTCAGGTGTGTGAACTCCCATAGCATTTGTGAATCCTCCTCAGGTGTATGTGAACCTCCGTAGGATTTGTGACCCCCCCTCAGGCATGTGAACCCCCCTCGGGTGTGTGAACTCCCTCAGGTATACATGAACCCCTGTAGGATTTGTGAACCCCCGTCAAGTATGTGAACTCCCCCACAGGTGTGTGAACCCCCCTCAGATGTGTGAACCCCCGTAGGATTTGTGAACCCCCTCAGGTGTGTGTGAACCCC